TCTTTTTGAGACAGTGTATCACTATGCAGTTCCGGCTGGTCTTCCACTCACTTTGTAGTCTAGGCTGGCCTTGAACTTGCAACAATCCCTTTCTCAGGCTCCCAAGTGCTGGGATTACAGGAGTGCAAATACAAAGTTTCTTAACTCTATTTTTTTTTTCCAGTACCGGGAATCCAACTCACGACTTTGTGCTTGCCAAGCAAGCGCTGTGCCACTGAGCTAAATCTGCAGCCCCAAAGTTTCTAAACTCTAAACTCACCTACCCTATCTGCTCCCCCTCAAGACTGAGGACATCAAGATGAGTAACAAATAATTTTCAGGATCTGCAGGGACATCCAGTTGCCAGCTTTTATTTACAATGTCCAGTTCCTGACCCGCTGAAGCAATGCCCCAGTCTCCAGGTATGGCTTTAAACCAGCAGTCACCTCAGACTCCCGGAAGAATGCCGCCTTGCAGAACACCCCAGGAGGCCACTGTGCCCCAGTGGGAGCAGTCACTCCCTGGCAGGACCTGAGCCTGCCCCTCTAAACCAGAGTCCCCTAGGAACTGAGTTGTCCTCAGGTTCTGGCAATCCCAGAACCTCAGGAGCCAGGTTCGAGACACCAGCTAACCAGATGCTTGACCAGAATCACCTTTCTTCCGTCATAAAGTGCTACTATATTTTTTAACCTGTTGGGACATTGGACTGTTATGTCTCTCTACAGTTAAACTGACGTCTTGCAGGTTCACATTTTAAAAGTATTGTTGAATGACTAGTGGATCAACATAAAAGGATGAAGTCACCCTCGTCTATCAGAAACAACTGAGTATTTACCACAGCCTTCCTAAGGCTCCTGTAAACCAGTACTTCTTCGGAGCTGGTGCAACAGTGGTTAAAAACATTCTCCCCTCCTTGGAAAATGTTCAGCTGGGCAGCTCTGTGAGAGGACTGACGCAAATTACAGCGGGGAGTGGTGGCGCACACCTATCGTTCCAGCACTCTGGGAGGCAGAGGCAGGAGGATTCAGATTTGGAGCCCAGCCTGGGCAACTCTGCGAGATCCTGCCTCGGAATAAGAAAAGGGCCTGTAATTAATTTCAGCACTCAGGAGGCTGAGGCAGGCATATCACTGAGAGTTCGAGACCTGCCTGAATTACAGTCAGACCCTGTCTCAAAAAACGAAAACAAAAAACAGCTGTAGCTCAGTGTGAACGCCCTCAGTTCAACCCTGGTACCAAAGCAAACAATATCAAAGGTAAGCGACAGTACCACAGGGTTAAGAGCAACGTGGAAACCGGAGATGAAAAAGCTTGCAACAATCCCTTTCTCAGGCTCCCGAGTGCTGGGATTACAGGAGTGCAAATACAAAGTTTCTTAACTCTATTTTTTTTTTCCAGTACCGGGAATCCAACTCACAACCTTGCGCTTGCCAAAAAGCTCATTGCAGAGCAGGAAGGCGATTCTTTGCTTATGGCAAAAAGATACAGTCAGTGGACGGCGGAGCCATATACCAGCTGCGGAGCCCTGCGGCCCCTCGGGGCACAAACTTGAAAAGGGGTCGCAAAGATTCATCCGCAAACGCGCGGCATACACCTTCTGCCACCTGGCGCTCATTCAGCTCGAGAAAGAGCTGCACAGCGGCTGGGCAGGGCCGGGAGGAAGCGGAAGCGGGATGGTGCCGCGCCCCCGCGAGGCGGAAGCGCAGGAGGCGGTGACGCCATAAGTGAGCGCCCGCGGCTCGGCGGCGCGGCGGCGCGGCGGCGCTGGAAGAACTGTGCGGCCGTGTTTTCGGCGAGCAGGCCAGACCGCTCCTAGTTGCCGGCTGTCCCTTCCCCGGTGGCGGCGGCCAGGCCACAGTCCTGGCTCTCGCGGCGCCTAGACTAGCGGCAGAGCGGGTCCCAGGAGCGAGGGACTCAGGTAAGCGAGAGCTCAGGCGGCCCCGTGGCAAATGACTGGCGGACCGGGGTCCCTACCGGCCATTCGCGGCGCGCCAGCTCAGCGGCCCTGGGGCGCTGCCTCCCCCGCGCCCCGAGGCATGGACAGAGCGTCTCTCCGGGCATTGCGTGGCTGGTGAGGCGCTGCAGGCGCTGATCTCTAGGGATCACTGCCCTCCCTTTTTTTCTCCAGCCGGAGCTCTGCAGCGCAGGCTCGAGCAAGCTGGCTCCCGCGGCCGCCGCTCCCGAATCCGGGGACAGCTTTGCGAGGGACAGAGTCGTTGAAGGCCTCGGTGCCTGCCGCCTTGCAAGTCGAGGTTTTTGCGTGATCCGATTGTTCTGCCTCGGTTCTTTCCCCACGCTCATGGGATCCTTTCTAGGGGACGAGAGTGTCACATTTGGACATTACCGTGCAGAGAAGCGGCTTTTTCCTCTTGTCTTTGCTACGTGGTGTCTATGCCCGTTACGACCACTCTGTTGGGGCACAGGGGTGCGGAAATGAGTTTGGGACTTAGAAACACCAGAGTTGAAATCGTAGCCTACCATTTGGTGTGGTAGTAGTATTTTTAATTCACTGCATGTAAAGTGGAGCTTTCTTATATCTGCATAAATTAGCTGGCAGAGTTTTACATGGTTTGGGAATCTAGTTAAACTACGTTTTAAGATACCCAGGATATTTGATGCTAAGTTCCTAATTATGGTTTTTGCCTTTTCTCCGGAATAGCTAAGGTTGGTGTGGAGAAAGGTGCCCCATCAGGATCTTAACTGCAGTCGGTGTTTGGATGGGCAGCCTTAGGAAGAAACCAGACGCTCCAAGTCACCCAGATGTCTCATGCTTATTGATTAAAATACGGTCATTGAGGGATGATTTAAATCACTTTACTCAGATAGAATTTGTCCAGAAAGCCGTTCTTAGGAGAAAAGCTGGGAGGGGTTTCATTTACACCTTGGCCTATTAGAAGGAATCCTCAGCCCTTATTTTTGAGACCTCTCTCTGCTTCTAAAACATTTCACGTTCATTGAGAGTACACAGAGAAGCTGGGCAAGGTGCACACCTTTGATCCCAGCACTTGAGTGACCCAGGCAGAAGGGAGGGTCCTCCCTCTCCTTCCTCCTCCTTATTCTTTCATGTACCTAGTCAGCCAGGTGTCTCATGCTTATTGATAAAACTATCAGTGAAGGATGGTTTAAATCAGTTTTGCTCTTTACTTAAGGTAGCGAGACAAAGAAAAAAAGAAAATGTGCAGAGAGAAAATGCAGGAGCTGGAATTCTTTGACTGGATATTACAGTTCTAATTTGAGGAGGTGCTTTTCTCTGTAGTGGAGAGAGAATATTCACCACTGCGGTGTAATTGACCCCGAGGTAAAGAAGTGTTGGGGGAGGAGAGAGGGTGATGCAGGCAGTGACTTAAATAGAACCTGCTCTTACAGGCTGATGAAGGGTGCGCTCTGCCTCGGTGGGGCGGGATGATGGCTGCAGTGCAGTATGTAGTCAAGTGTAGTCTTCAGTGTCTTTGACACAGAACTGACCATTTGTCCACAAAATTGACCAGATTGTCCATTTGGAATTTGGTGATACATGTGTATATCCCCTTCAGGGTCATCTAATCCAAATTTCCTGAAACCTACCTGGCCTTAGAATCAATTGGGTAATCAGAATATAAAAGTTAGGTGCAGTGACTGCAGCCACTTAAGACGCTGAGCAGGCATGCTTGAGGCCTGGAAGATGTATCAAGACCCGGAGTCAGAAAAGCAGAACCCCAAATGCCTTGACCCTACATCAGTTCTGATGTAGTGGGACCTGGGTATTTGTGTGTGTGTGTGTGTTTTTTTTTTCTAAGTTTCTCTAGGGCTGAGGGTGTAGTGCATTATTACAGAGCTTGCCCAGTATTCTTGAGGCTCCTGGTTCAAAAACAAAACCCCCTCCCAGGTGATCTCATGGCTTGAAAACAATTGTAGATAAGGTTTCACATTTAGTTTAACAGGCCCATGAAGATGTTTATTTTCCTTTTTATTTTTCTACTTCTCTTTGTTTCCTTAAGTGTCTACTTGAATCAAAGCTTCTATTTCAAGTTTTATAGTACTTTGAGCCCAGAAAGGAGGAGTGTCCTTTTAGGTAGTAGTTCTGTATAATTCCGTTTTTGTAGTTTAAGCTCAAAGAGGTGACTTTTTAATGAAAGTAATGTAGCACATGTTACATTGAAACCTCTTACTAAGTGTTGGTAGAATTGTATAAATCAGTGATTTAGTGCTAAACCTTCAAAAACTGGAAAATTCAGGTTTAAGAATATTTGCAATTCTGGTATATTGTGAACCCAGGGCTGTTTAGACAGGCTTTTCCCCCTTCCCTCTATTCTGGTATGTGAGACCACTTACTTTGAAGTAGTAGCCAACATCCTGTGGAGCTCAGTTTGAGACCTGGGCTTTATGCTTCTCTGGTGCCCTATGACCATCTGCTAACTAGAGCTGCACTCTCTCTCCAACAGTATACCCTTTTCCCTCCAATCTTTCTCCATTTGTATTCTGTATAAGTCAAATGACTTTTACAGGCTTTTTTTCCTGTAGATATTTCTGGGGGCTGAAAATTGTCCAGATTGATTTAATCTGTACATTTTCCCAGTGTGTGGTTCTTCGCTCCCCCTCCTCCCCTCAGTGGGGTCAAGGGCATTGCTGCTGAGCTGTATCCCCAGCCCTTTTGACTCTCAGAGGCTGAGTTGCCCCTGCTGTTACAGTGTAACCGCTTCCTAACTTGTTTCCTTTCCTCCTGATATGTTGCTCTGGTCTTCTAGCTGTTCTTCACACTGCAGCTGGAGTGGCCTTTTCAAGAATGCAAATCAGATCCTGTAGTCTTATTGTTCCGTCCTTTCACAGCACCTTTCACCCTTATGCGAAGTAGCAGTTCCTGTTAAGATACACTGAAGCCTGCTCCCCACCCCTGCCCCTTGATGTGCTGGGGCTTGAATTCATGGGCTACTGAACTCCAGCCCCAGCCCTTTTTGTTTTGAGACAGAGTATTGCTAAGTTGTCCAGGCTGGGCTTGAACTTTTTGATCCTCCTGTCTTAGCTTCCCAGAGTACAAGGATTACAGATGTGCATTACCACCACACCCAGCCTATTCCTTTTGACTAAGCTCTCATTCTTTGTCTCGGTTGAAAAATAGTTATGTGTGAGGTGACTTTCTGGACCCCTTTGCAAGTGACTCTCTGAATTTTACCTTTTTTAAAGATATGTATTACATTTGTTAATACTACTTGGCAAATGAGTCTCCTACTAAATTCTTTGAAAGTTTGGTGCCCTCCTAGTAGTAGAAATTCCAGTAGTTATTGAACAGGAAATTTAACAAACGTACAATTTCAGTATCATTGGTGATACATACCACCAGAAGCCATGTTTAATTTGTTTACCATTTTCCCTTTTCAAATTTGAGGCATAAACACAAGGCTTCATGAATGCCTTGCAAGCACTCTACTGGGCAACATCCCAGCACTGTTTCCTTTTATTTTTCTCTGTCTTTCTGCTTGCCTGTTTGTTTGAGACAGGGTCTCGCTATTGAGTCTAGGCTGGCCTGTAACTTGCTCCATAGCCCAAGCTGGGTTTAAAGTCATAGTCCTCCTATCTCAACCTGGTGTGTGCTGGAATAACAGTAAGTCCCTGTTTTACCAACAAGTTCTGTTCTTGGAGAATTCTTTGTAAGTTGGATTTGTTTGTAAGCTGACAGAGTGAGTCTTATACAGTAGATCTGTAAAAGTTTGCAACTCAAGTGTTTGTAGATCAGGGACTGACTGTATAGGCAGTCACCGCTATGCTCAGCTGTCTGGCTCTGTGTGTGTGTGTGTGTGTGTGTGTGTGTGTGTATGTGTGTGTATGTGTGTGTATGTGTGTGTCTTTGTCTGTCTCTGTCTCTCCTTCCTCCCCTCCCTTCCTCCTTCCTTCCCTCCCTCCTTCCTTCCTTCCCTCCCTCAGAGGGGATTGAGCCTGAAGCTTTTTTACTGAGCTACATACATCCTTAGCCCTTTTTTTAAAATCTTAAGATTGTCTTGTTAAGTCACCTAAGTTGTCTAGACTGGGCTGGAATTTATTTTTTTATTTTTTAATTTTATTACTATTTTTTGTCTTTTTGAGACAGGGTCTCACCATGCAGTTCAGGCTGGCCTTGAGTTCACTTTGTACCCAGGCTGGTCTCGAACTCGCAACGATCCTCCTGCCTCAGCCTCCTGAGTGCTGGGATTACAGGCGTGCGCCACCACGCCAGGCTGGGCTGGAATTCATGATCCTCCTTCCTTAGCTTCCCAGAATACTGAGATTAATACATGTGGGCTACCATACCCAGCCTCTAGGTGGCTTTTTTTTTTTTTTTTAAATTGGGGTTTGAATTTAGGTCCTTCAAACTGGGCTACATTTCTAGCTGTTTTTGTTTTTGTTGTTTGTTTGTTTGTTTTTTAAGGTCAAGTTCTACTAAATTCCCCAGGCTGGGCCCAAACTTGTGATTTTCCTGCTTTAGCCTCCACAGTACTGGGATTACAGGAATGTGCTACTATGACCATCTACCAGGTGTTTGACAGATGTGGACTGTGACTTTTCTCATTTATTAATTCATGTTTCCTCTAATTTAGACTATCCTGTGATGCGCTTGTGTCTTAGTTTCTTTTTTGTTGCTGAGATTATGGCGTGAGTGCTGGAGCAGGCACACAGAGCCCTCTCTGTCGGCTCTTGAACCAAGTCATCTCAACCAAGGTTCGACAGATCAGCATGAATACAGCAGCAAAGATCACATTAGTTGTGCAGAAACACCTCATATGCAAACTTTTATCTTTTCGGTTAAAAGCTGTTTGCATCAATGAAAGGTCTGTTATTGTGTTTTCTTTTTAAGACAAAACATGTTAATGAATGAGTTATTTTTTTCTAAACTAAAACTTCAGTATAGTACTCAAGTTTAATTGTAGTGTCGACACTTTGAAATAAGAAAGTGGGTTTTAGGTTGCAGTTTGGGTACTCAGTCTCTCAAAGGTTCACCATCACTGGTCTAGTCCATAATCAGCTGGCTCCAAGGCAGGGCAGCATGGCAAACAGGAAGCAGAGAGGACCAAGGCAGGAGGAAGGAAGAGCTAAGGTCTTCCAGGCCAGACCCTCAATGACCCACTTCTGACCGATCCACCTCCCAACATCACATTTAGCTATAAACTCATCAGTGAACTAATCTGCTGATGGATATCATGCTGCCGTGATCCAGTCACCTCCCTAGAGCTCCACTTGTGAGAGCGTGAGGCTTTGGGGGGGACATCTATTTTGTGTGTGTGTGAGTGTCTTTTTTTTTTTTTTTTTTGTCTTTTTGAGGCAGGGTCTCGCTATGCAGCTCAGGCTGGCCTTGAACTCGGTTTGTAGCCCAGGCTGGTCTCGAATTCACAGTGATCCTCCTGCTGCAGCCTCCCAAGTGCTGGGATTACAGGTGTGTGCCACCCCGCCCAGCTGGGGCATCTAGATATAAACCATAACACCTTGTCGTTTCATGCAAATCCATTGGTTGCCTTGGGCAGTTTGGGTACTGTGGTTCTACACTGTTAACTGGGTATACATTCTTCTTTAGACATTTTTCCCCTAAACATTCAAACATATGTACATACATATAAAATATTTTTTCCTGAAACAAAATGGGCTTGTACATATTACTTAATAAGTTGACTTTTAAAAAATTCAGCAGTATATAAGGATGTATTAAACATAAACATGTAAATCCACACTAGCCTCAAGATTCCATTAAAATAGTAGAGGAAGCCAGGTGTGGTGGTGCACACCTAGAATCCCAGCATTTGGGAGGCTCAGGCAGGAAGATCACCATGAGTTCTACGTCAGCCCACAAAATGATACCCTGTCTTTATTTTTTTTTTTTTTTTGAGACAGGGTCTTGCTATGCAGTTCAGGCTGGCCTTGAGCTGACTTTGTAGCCCAGGCTGGCCTCGAACTCACAACCATCTTCCTGACTCAGCCTCCCAGGTGCTGAGATTACAGGCATGTGCCACCATGCCCCGTTGAGACCCTGTCTTTAAAAAAATAAATGGGGGACATTTCCCCAAAAGCCTGAAAATGGCAAAGAACAAGAGCAAAGCAAATAACAACCAAATTCTGGAAACTGGAAAGCAGGGAAGACAAGTGGTAACTGATTACCACACTTGAGAAGCTGCTTCAGAATTCTAAACACCTGATGGGGTGTCAGCTTTCAGGTGCCCAGTGGGGTGGGCCTTGTTGGGCCATTTTGTGTCTTCTACCTTTGTGGATTTTTCTGGTGAACTAATCGGATTCTGCAGAAGAGACTCTTCAGTCATCTGTTAGGTGGATAAGGCAGACCGTGGCGGTCTGGGAGATGAGTGGGAAAACGGTGTCATTAATCTCAAATTCGCTGTGTAATTCTGTCGTCAAATCTGGCCTGGATCTCCGTCTGCAGGCTTGTTTTACCCTTTCGGACCGCTGAACTTCCTGCTGCCCTGTTGGGTGGGGGAGGAGCAGTGGTTAAGGATGGGGAAGGGTTACACTGTTTCTTAGGCGTCAGGGTGCACTGCAGAGAAATCCCCGAGACCTGACACGTGTCATTGTCTTTTCTGTTTAAATGCCCCCCACAGGTGTGCACGTGGGGACCAGTCTTACGGAAGCTGAGTGAGGAAGGTCACTGGAAACTCACACTCCAGCTCCTCTCTGCCCACAGCTGCACAGCGTACCTGGCCGTCCTTGTGGATTAGCTCCAGAAAGGAAGCTTTGCTTATTTGCCAAGGTAGGAGAAGGGGTCTGGGGGTCTGCCAACTCATGCTTATTCAGACTTCTTTTTAAATGAGGTACTGAGAACCAGAGTCAAGACATTCACACAGAGCTACATTCCCAGCCTTTTCATTTTTTAAAATTTTGAGACAGGAACTTGCTAAGTTGCCCATGCTCAAACTTGTTATCCTCTTGTCTCAGTCTCCTAGAGTCCTGGGATCACAGGTGTGGGCCACTGTGCCTGGTTTATTCAGACTTTCTCAACCAGTCCTCCCTCTTCCCGCTCCACCCATACTCTCACCCTCCTAAGTATTCATTCCCTCCAATTTCAAGCCTATATGAGGTCTTGTAGCTTGCTTCTTGGTGTCCTGGACAGCTGTCTTAGATTTCAGCTCCCCTTCAAAGTACTCCCCGCTCACTGAGAATACACTTACTCCATTATTCTTGGGGTGTATTTTTTTTTTTACTGTAATAAGTTCTTTTTTAAAAAAATTTACACATTCAGGGCTTGGGGTGTAGCTCAGGGTAGAGAGCTGTTGCCTACTATACACAAGGCCCTGAGTTCCCCAGCACCACAAACAAAACAAAGCCAAACCCTTAATTGTAAACATTCACCATATTTTTTGGTCACACTTTGCATTAGATTGTACTAAATTCTGACGGGAAATCATGTTTGGCTTGGTTCTCATGTGTTCCTGCAGGTTGTGTGTGTGCTGTGCTGGTTCTTGTTTCTTGTATTCACCTGAGAGCCAATGACAGGGTGAGAGCGCCCACTGGAGTCCCTCCTGTGTAGTCAGTCACCCAGAGCTGCTGGCCGGCTGACCAAGGAGGGGAGGTTCTGATGCCACGAGTGGATTATCCACCCATGCATGCCTTCACAGAGCTACGGTGCCTGTGCTGCACTTTAAAAGAGAATCTCCTCCATGAAAAAAGTTGTTTTGCTGTGGAGCAGGATGTAAGCGAATGGATATGCAGTCAGTTCCCTCTCCCTTCCCTTTCCTTCACTGTACAAGTGAGAACACAGAGTTCAGCTGACTCCGAGTTATGTAGCTAATTCGAAGCAGAGCCACAGTTACAGCTCTTCTCTTAACTCCCTGCACTATGCCCTCCATCAGAAACTGACTACAGCTTACACAAGGATTGCAAATTGGAAGCCACCCTGGACACCTTAGCAAGACCCTGTGTCAAAATCAAATAAAAAGGCCAATAAAATGTTTAAAACATACAAAAAAAATAAAATAAAAAGGGCTAGAGATGTAGTTCAGAGGTGGAATGCTTACCTGGCGCACAGACAAGCCTGGGTTCAACTTCAAGCACTTCAAAAAGCAGGGAGGGGAAGAAAAGAAATTGATTACATACTGGGAAATTATTCTTAAAACTTTTTTCTCAGGGGATTGAACCCTGGGCCTCAGACTGAGCTATATTATCAGCATCCTCCTTTTTTTTTTTTTTTTTCCTTTGGTTTTGGCTTTTTTCCGGTACCAGGAATCGAACTCATGACCTTGCGCTTGCCAGGCAGGCGCTGTGCCACTGAGCTAAATCCCCACCCCCTCCTTTTGTTTTTTGAGACAGGGTCTGGCTGTGTAGTTCAGGCTGGCATTGAGCTCACTAAGTATGTAGCTCAGGCTGGCTTTGAACTTGTGGCAATCTTCCTGTGTCAGCCTCCTGAGTACTGGGATTACAGGTGTACACTACCACGCTGATCTAGTTTTTATTTTTTAACTTTTTTCTATCTAAGGGAGACACACGCAAATAGGGTCTTGTTACAGTGCCCATTCTTCCCTCTACCCTCATTTTAATTTTGATGAAAACCTTGATCAGGTAAGATTTCATTACGTCTCACAGCCTACATTGAAGTGTATATGTTTGTGCATCAGTTTTCTACTTTAGTTGCTGTGAATGTCATCATAACCTTATGTTTAGATTGATATGTAACTTCTGTTTTCTTCTCTGTAGCTACATCCAGATCTCATTATGCATCAGAAAAATGAAAAAACAGAGGAGAAGTCTATGGAGGAAAGGAATTCACTTTGCCTTTTCTGAGAAATGGAATACAGGGTTTGTAGGCTTTAAGAGATTCTATTTTCACCAACACTTGTGCATTCTAAAAGCTAAGTTAGGAAGGCCAGTCACTTGGAAGAGGCAGCTGGGCTATTTGCAGTGTGGAAAGAAGTCTCTTGAAATTCAGAAAACATGGATCCACGGTGAAGCACTGTGTGCCAAGCCCAAGCCCAGTGTGGCTACTTCGAGTGCTAGCACTGGGTCCTCTAAAGTGGAGAGAGAGAAAACTAAGCACTTCATTTCTTCCTCAAGGGGCCTCCCGAGACTTCATGCAGAGAAGTTGCCGTCCTCAGCAAGGAACTCAGACCATGAATCCTGTGGAGAGAAGAATCTCTTGAAGGCAGTTGCTGGTCTGCCAGCAAATAGTGTTGTAGGTCAGGCCAACGGTCGCAGACCCAGGACAGCACCACATGACTTTCCCATGACGTGCAGTGGGGAGAGCCAGAGTCCAGGGGAGAGTGGCAAGATTGTGGTCACTCTGAGCAAACATAAAAGAAAACGCTTTTGTTATGGCTGCTTCCGAGGGCTGGAGCGCCACAGAAATGGGGGACTCCTGATTCCTAGAAAGGTTCAACTTAACCAGCATCGAAGGATAAAAGTGTCTCCTCTTATGATGTATGAGAAATTATCCATGATAAGATTTCAGTATAGGATTCTCAGATCACAGCACTTCAGAACAAAAAGCAAAGTCTGTAAGCTAAGAAAAGCCCAGCGAAGCTGGGTACAGAAGGTCACTGGAGACCATCAAGAGACCTTTAGGGATAACGTGGAGGGCGGCAGTTGCAGCCCATTCCCTTCTGCAGAACTGAGAGACTCTTCTTGCCGGCATCAGCTGCACGCCCCAGATATGGACAGTGATGTGCTGGCAAAGGGAAAGAACTCTCCCATGCCCGAAGGCTGCACCAAAGGGAGCCTTTACGGGGGCAAGGAGCCTCGTGTAGATGACACATTTCCTGACCAGCAGAATGGCGTTGCCACTGACGCCTGGGACCAGACACCTTGTTCCCCTCAGTGGGAGTGTGCAGGGCTGACTGGTGAGCACCCCTTGTCAGAACATCATCTAAGTAACATGTTCCCCTCGGAAACTCAGAGAGACGCTCTGGCTCTGAGTCGGGAGAATGGGACAGGTGCCGTGGGTGACAGCAAGGTAGAGCTGTCAGCGCCTGGAGCCGAGGAAGCTGGGAGTGGTGCGGATGGGCCTGGGTCTCACCAGAATATGGAGCACGAGAGCTGCCAGATGGAGGAGGAAGGGTCACTCAAGCAGAACATCCTCAGCTCCAAGCTGCTAGACCACCCGTACTGTAAGAGTCCACTCGAAGCGCCTCTGGTGTGCAGTGAACTCAAGCTAGAGAGTCCCTTGCGAGGCGGCAAGAACAGTCAGAAGGCGTCACCTGTAGACGATGAGCAGCTGTCCATCTGCCTTTCTGGTAGGCACTGTCCTTTGCCCCCCGCCGGCTGACCCGCACCTGCTGTCCCTTCTCCTTTCTGCGAGAGTCCTCTTTCTTCTCCTGCTTGTGGCTTTCTGTACACTTTTGGATGTTCTCGATGACTTTTATGTCAGTATACTGTAGAGATGTTGCATTAATTACTTACTTAATCCTTGATTGGATGGACACTGGGATTGATTTTGAGTTGTCTCTTCTGTAAACTGTACAAAGGATTTTTTTTTTCTAGTACTGGGGATTGAACCTAAATTGTTCACACTGAACTACATCCCAGCCCTTTTTGAGACAGAGCCCCACTAAGTCATTAAGTTGCCCAGGGTGGGGTCAAACTTGCAGTCCTGCCTCAGCCTCCCAGAGTGCTAGAATTATAGGCACCCATCACTACCCGCAGCTGGCTTCTATTTTTTACATCATGTTTAAAAGGCCTACTCTTAGCCAGGCCTGCTGGCAGAGGCCTGTAATTCCAGCACTCTGGGAGGCTAAGGCAGGAGGATCACAAGTTGGAGCCTAGCCATGGGCAATATAGTGACTTAGTGAGACTCTATCTCAAAATAAAAAGTAGGATGGGGATGTATCTCAGTGCAGAAGCCCTGGGTTCAGTCCTCAGTACTGAAAAACAAAACAATAAAATAAAACAGCTGCCTTTCACTGGGTCTGGTAGTGTGATGGTGCATATCCATAATCCCAGTACTCAGGCGGCTAAAGCAGGAGAATCAGAAGTTGGAGATCAGCCTGGGCTGCATAGTGAGACCCTGTCTCAAAATAGAAGTCTTTTGTCGAACCCTACACTAAGAAGTGAATTGGGGGGCCTGGGGATTTAGCTCAGTGGCAAAGCTCCTGCCTGGCAAGCGCAAGGTCGTGAATTCGGTTCCCGGTACCGGAGAAAAACCAAAAAACCAAAAAAAAAGTGAATTGGTATAAATATTTTGGGAAGACAGTGTTACAGTATTAGTCCTTGAGCCATTTGCTTGAAATTCATCCTAGTTATAAGAGAGTACAAATGTATTTATATAGGTGTGTCACTTGTGTTATTAGGAGTAAACTAGAAACACCAAGTTTCTATTGAAGCCTAAATTATGGCACATTCAGAACATGGGGTACTATGCAGATGTTTAAGAACTAAGATTGAAGCCGGGTGTGGTGTGCACCCCTATAATCCCAGTGCTCGGAAGGCTGAGGCAGGAAGATCGTTATGAGTCCAAGAACAGCTTGGTCTAAAAAGTGAGCTCAAGGCCAGCCTGAACCTGCATATTGAGACCCTGTCTCAAAAAGATGAAAAGGAAAAGAACTAAGATGGAAAGTTGTGGTGTACTGGTAGAATGAGTACCTAGCATGTGCAAGGCCTGATTCCATCCCCAGCACTGCGAAATAAATAAATGATGTTTATTTTTTTATACTGAAAGATATCCGTATGAAATTTAAATAGCAAGTTGCAAAATGGTATGAATACTTTTTTGCATGTTTGATACTGGGAATGGAACCCAGGGTCTTCACAATAAGCTACACAACCCAGTCCTTTTTATATTTTATTTGAGACAGGGTTTCACCAAGTTGCTAAGTTGCCCAGGTTTGGCTCAAACTTATGATCCTTGTACCTCAACTCCCAGAGTGCTGGAGTTACAAGCATGTACCAGCATGACTAGTGGCATACAATTTTGTTAAAAAATACACATGCAGATATGATGAATGTGTGTGTGTGTGTGTGTATATGTGTACGTGTGTGTATAGGTATACACACACACATACACGTGCACTTGTATAGGATGTATTTGAACAGACATAATATATTGTTATAATTGGCTTCTTTTGAAGAGTTAAGAGTTAGTTCTCATTAAACAGTTGTTTTCCCAACAATTAAGTATGTGTAAGAAGTTCCCCACAAAAGACATAAAAGAGGACGCTGGCAAATCTGTAGTTTCTCTTGTTTATTATTGTCTAAAAATAATCTTTTATTTTTTTTGGTATGGGGAATGAAACTCAGGACCTTGTGCTTGCCAGGCAGGCACTGCGTCACTGAGCTATATCCCCGCCCCTGTCTAAGAGTAAGGATGAATTTCCCTAATAAGAAGTTAACATGCCTGTAATCCCAGCACTCAGGAGGCTGACACAGTCCATGATACTTAAACTTGAAAGAATTGACATTTGCCTACAAATAATCACTAGATGTAACACTTTTAAATATGAATCAGCATGTAGTACAACTATAGCGTGATCTGAGGAAGGAGGAATTCTTAATACGCATTTAGTGATCTGTAGTGTAATTCGTTTTTTTAGCTGAAGTAGAGAAATCATGGCATCATAGCAAGTTTAGTGCTTAAAAAGCCTGTTAGTAAAATTCAACTTCCAAGTTTACATCTCCTAAAAAACCTAGGAATAGAGAAAATTTCCTTCACGTACTATAAAATACTTGTTAGAAACCATGTTTCATGTTCATGAGGAAGAAGCGTGGCACATGAAACCTGTTCTGGCCAGGCGTGGTGGCGTATACCTGTAATCCCAGCACTTGGGAGGCTAAGGCAGGAGGATCATTGCAAGTTTGAGGCCAGCCTGAACTGCGTAGTGAGAACCTGCCTCAAAAAGACAAAAAAAACCAGGGCAGAAGGAGGACCGATGCCAGGGAAATGGTAGAACACTGCCTGTTTGCTAGTGAGTGGAGGTACGAGACAAGGAGACCCATAGCAAAAGACAGCGCAGCTGGGGAAACTCTTCTGTCTGGGCGAAGAGGGAGTTAGCGAGTTGAAATGCTAGGAATACTCCACTCGCCCCCCTCCATGGAACTGCTGACAGTTGTTGAGGGCAGAGCTGTAGCTACTACCTATCCCAACCCTTACCCCTCCTCAAGTTACCCGATAGAGACGAGCTCATAGTCTGAAGGAAGCTGACACACTGAAAGAGACAAACTCGGCAAATAAGGGAACTAAACCTCGGTAGCCAGCGCTAGTAAAGCAGTCAGAATAGGAACACAGGGGCTGGGGATTTAGCTCAGCGGCACAGCACCTGCCTGGCAAATGCAAGGTCGTGAGTTCAATTCCTGGTACCGGAAAAAAAAAAAAAAAAAAGAGGGAACAGTGTAGGAGTTGGCACATTGCCACTCCCTTAGTGGGCTTGTACAGAGGTAGCCAGACTTGTGCCATAGAGCGCTCCGGATGCTGGCCCTCTGTGTTACGACTGTGTGTGTTAGTGCTTTTCAGCTGATTTTACATATGTATTGAGTAAGTTGTACTGAGGGAAAACATACTGCAGTTAGATAATTTTATTCAGTATCATAAACGGATTAAATATGTGTATAAAGAAAAGTTGCTGCCTGAAAAACCATGTAGAATGCTTTGTGAGTTGCTTATGAGTTGAAGGAAAAATAGTCACTGTTGAGTTATGGTTGTGCAAGACAACTGTAAAAGATTTGAGAGTAGTATATGAAAGTCTAGAGCTGGGCGTGGTGGTGCACGCCTGCAATCCCAGCACGTGGGAAGCTGAGGCAAGAGGATTGTTGCGAGTTGGAAACCAGCCTGGGCTACAAAGTGAGCTCAAGGCCAGCCTGAACTGCATAGTGAGACTGTATCTCGCTCAAAAGGACACACACAAAAAAAGTCTAGGCTTCTGTACTGGGTTACTTTGCAAGTGTTGTTAAGTTCTTCATTCATTTTAAAGAAGATCTAAAGTTCTAACCTGTGTCTCAAGACATGCCAGGAGTCTTAGAAGGGAACCTCAAGAAAGCAACGAGGGCTATTTCCCAGAACTACAGAGAAAAGTGTGAGTCTTCAGACTAGAAAGGCTTAGTGCTGGGTTGGAGCTGAGCTTAGCAATTGCTTTCCATGCCGTAGGCCTGCCCTGCTTTCTCAGTCCCCATGGCAAAGGGGAAAAACAGAACAACAGATTGGAAAGGCTGAGTAAATCAGGATTAAAACATACACCGTACATATACCCAAACTCTCACTGAATTGTGTGCAGTAAAATCCCAGCATACTAAGGATTAAGAGAAATGGCTGGAAAAGTTAGTTGCCTGTTTTAGAAGGAAAAGGAGTAGATTCTGGTGCCACAGTGCTTTCTAGGTGGCTTAAAAATTTGAACAGAAACAAATACAAAGAACTGTGCGTGGGGGTGGTGCTGGGGATGAAACCCAGGGTCTCTTGCATGCAGGCAGATGTTCTACCACTGAGCTATGCCCCCAGCCACGCAGAACCTTTTCGTTGGTGTTGGGGTTTGTACCCAGGGCCGCGTGCATGCTAAGCGCTTGTTCTGCCACTGAGCAGACACAAAAACTTACATGTGAGTGTTCCAAAAAGTGGAAACCTAAAAGCCCAAGTGACAAATGGATAAATTTGGTCTATCTAGATAATGGAATATTCTGTCATGAAAAAGAGCGGTATACTGAAAAATGCTTCAGTGTGGATGAATCTTGAAAACATGCTTAGTGAAAGAAGCTAGACACAAAATGTCACATAACCTATAATTTCATGTATTTCAAATGTGCAGAAGACATAAATACAGTTGATTAATATTTCTAGGAGCTGGGGAGAGAGGAGAATGGTGACTGCTAATAGGTTCAGGACTTTTTGGGAAAGTGCAAATATTCTGGAATTAGGTTTTAGTGTGACTGAATCATACTCTGTAAGGGTGGTGGTGTGTGAATCATATTTTTATTTATTTGTTTATTTTTGGTACCAGGAATTGAACTCAGGACCTTGCTCTTGCCAGGCAGGCGCTTGTGCCACTGAGCTCTATCCCCAGCCTTTGTTAATCGTATTTTAGTAAAGCTATGAAAAGCAACTTATAGGAGGACATTTTAAAAATAATTTAGGAAAAAAAAAATCCTTAGAGCCAAACATAGTAGTACACACCTGTAATCCTAGCACTTAGGAAGGCTGAGGTGGGAAGATCACAAGTTCAAGCCCAGGCCAGGCAACTGATTGACTAAAGGACTGGACTATAGCTCAATGTAAAGGCCCTGGGTATTAGGTTAATAATATCCCTTAGTTATTGTGGGCTGATCAGGTCCACAGTCTCCCGAATGACTGTACAGTGAAGGCTAAATAAAAAGAATGAGTTCATTCTCATTTTGAACTCACCCCTGAAATGAGTTCAGGGCTCCAGGAGGATCAAAGCGTTCCCGCAGAATTTGAGATTCTCTCAGGGCTAACACCAAGACGTCTGGGTGGCCCGTATTTATTTGGTTATCGAAAGAAGGGAGGGGAGTACTCAAGAAGGGCAGAATTACTCAAGGACTTCTCCAAGTAAGGTATTAAATTAATCCTTAATAAGGATTGTGATCTTGTCTTATCCTTTGAAGCTTTCTGGCTTCATCCTCCATTTACAGGTTTTAGTAGGGATTAGTGACTCACAGAGGTTCACTTACTATGAGTCCATCGCCCACCTCCAGACAAGTGGCCTGAGCTTTGGACAGATTCACAAACGTAAGAAGCCAATTGGTTAATTTTAAGTCCTGCTCAGGACTACTTCATAGTGGTCTCCATCACTGGGTCTTGGTCCCCAGTGCTACTAGTATACTTACAGCTGAGCCAGGTATGGAGTGGAGCTTAGTGGCAGAGTGCTTTCCTGGCATGCTTGAGACCCAGTACTTGATCTCTGTACCTCAGACACACCAACCTAGAGCTAGCAGTGTAGCACAGTGTAGAACACTTGTCCAGTGGGCATCCCCAGCACCACAAAAGACAAAAATAATTGAACAGACAAAAATTGTGTTCTCTTCTGAGACTGTAGCCCTGATTATGGGACCTGTGTTCATAGAATTAAATTTTCCAGGTATATTTCCTTGCTCCCCCCATTCAACAGTCTTGTTAAGTCCCCAGGGCTGGGCTCAAATATGTGAACCTCTCTCACCTTGGTCTCCCAAGTAGCTGGGATCACAGATGTGTACCACCATACCTGCCTTTTTTTTTTTTTAAACTAAGAGCCTTCTACGCTACTTTCCATAATGTTGTACTAATTTACATTTGTCGTTTTCATAAAAACTGTTCTCATACGCGTGAGGTATTTCACTTTCGGATTTAACTTGCATTTTCCTTACCAGTGATGTTGAGCATCTTTTCATAGGCCTGTCCCCACTGCTCCCGGTGGCTGAGGCAGAAGGATTGCTTGATTCTGCGTTTGAAACCATCCTGGGCAACAGAGTGAGACCCTGTCAAAAACCAGAAGACTCCATAAGCATTAAAATCTTGGGGCTGGAGGTATAACATGGTAGAGTGTGCTTAGTGTGTTAAAGCCCTAGGTTCAATACCTAGGACCAAAAATAAAAATCAATGAATAAATAAAGAAGAATTTTAAATCTTGTACAAGTATAGCAAACCATAAATGAAAATATACAGGCTTAAGTATACAAGCTTAAATGTGGCTTCTCTGGCAAATGTGTCCTGGGGAAATCCCAACTTAGAGTAAATGGCCATTTGCCCGGAGTGAATGGCCCTTAGGGATGTGACAGTCATTAGTTTTTGCCAGCTCTCTAATAATGCCTCCGTAGTTTAAAAGTTCAGCGTCAGATAGTGCCTCATAGCATTTCTGCTTGTTAGAATGATGAGGGCCCAATCCATTTTATGTTTTGTTTTCTTTTTCCTTTTTGCAGTATTGAAAATCAAACCCAGGGCCTCTCAGGTGCTTTACCACTGAGCTACATCACCCGCCCTTTTTTGTTTTGAGACAGGGTCTCACCGAGGTGCCCAGGGTGGCCTTGAACTTGTGATCTTCCTACCTCAGCCTTCTGAATAGCTGGGATAAACTTTAAACAATTTATTTATGTAGGAATATACTGTGTTGAAAAAAGGGATAAGAAGGGGTTAAGTATTGCATATATATTAAGTATTGGGAGAATGACTGCTGAAAAGTTTGTTTTTCCATCTTAATTTTTCTTTCTTTATTAAAGGATTCCTAGATGAGGTTATGAAAAAGTATGGCAGTTTGGTTCCACTCAGTGAAAAAGATGTCCTTGCAAGATTAAAAGATGTCTTTAATGAAGACTTTTCTAATAGGTATGTCCGTGGTGCTAAAATTAAACATGTGAAAATAATTTAGGAAGAAAAGCTACTACATCGAGGAGAACTCATGTTTGTTCCATTTTCTTTCAAAATCTGTTTCAGAAAACCATTTATTAATAGGGAAATAACAAACTATCGGGCTAGACATCAAAAGTGCAACTTCCGCATCTTCTACAATAAGCATATGCTGGATATGGATGATCTGGCCACTCTGGATGGTCAGAACTGGCTGAATGACCAGGTCAGTGTGTCGCAGGTTCTCAGTGTATCAGAGGTGCGGAAGACATTGGTCTGTATCATCGAAATTTGACCTTACATTTCTCTTTGGGAATTTAAGATTCTTCTGTACGGAAGGGAGTGATTCTAGGATCCAGAAAGTTTGATTACTGTTAGTAGTATCAATGATGTTTGTTCTGCTTCAGAAATTCTGAATTGTATAGGGTTAGTAAGCTGATTTTACTTTTTGTAGGTCATTAATATGTACGGCGAGCTGATAATGGATGCAGTCCCAGATAAAGTAAGTGAAAACTTCCTCTTTAGGAGAGGCCTGTGTATTACAAGGCATAGGTTTTTTTAAAGATGAAATTATTTAATAGTTCTTAGATTTTAAAGGAAAGGATTAAATTGTGTCTTGCTCATGTACTTTTGCATAAGAAATTCACAGTGCCTGTCTCTTCTTTCTAATTTGTGTTCATTGTTATTTTAAAGGGGCTATATTGGGGGAAAGGTACACCAAAGGGACTATTTAAAGTCTTAACTCTCTGTTAAAATGTAAAATAGGGCCTGTGTGGTGACAGATGCCTCTAATCCCAGCACTCTAGGAAGCTGAGGCAGAGTTCAGCCCTACCCACCAATCTGGGGACTAAGAGATCCCATCTCAAATGTTTTTTTTTTGGCACCAGGAATAGAACTCAGGACCTTGCGCTTGCCAGGCAGACACTTGTACTGCTGAGCTAAATCCCTGGCCCTCGTCTCAAAATTTTTAAAAAGGGGTGCAATCTAGCTCAGCGCAAAGGCCTTGGATTCAGTACCCACCCCTCCCCCCAAGAGTAAAATAGTCTTTTTCTTCACTGTTTCAAAGTAAAAACCTTCGATTCTTAGTTGAAATGCAAACACAATGCCCGTTAAATTTAAATTCTTTTAAGAGCTTAGTTACATACTAAAACTATATTTAAATTCAATATTTCTTTCCAAGTACTCCAATGGGCAGAAGAACATTTCGAATACTTTATAGACCTCTAGGAGACTGAGGCAGGATCATAAGTTCAAGCCCAGCCGGGAAATTTAGCAACTTAATGAGGCCCTTCTCAAAAAATAGAAAAAGGTTTGGAAATACAGCTTAGTGCGGAGGCCTTTGGTTTAATCCCCAGTACCATGAATAAATATATATCCAGTACTTAAATAGAGTTTGTAATTATTTATAAATACAGAAAATATTTGGTAATTTTACATTTAAAATTACAAATCTCATGCATTTTAAGTGGGAGTCATGAGGCTAAACTGAGATTCTTTGTCAAATGCTCTTAATCAGAAAGATCAAACATGTACAGATTTCAGCATAAAAGTACTGACTTCAAAGATTGGACTTACGTTCATTGTCTCTATTTTTAATTCTAAATCAAATTTTAGTGTTCACTAGAGAACTTACTGCTTGCGTGCTGGTGGAGAGAAATCTGCACACATTTTGGGGTCACGGGAATGTTTTGTATTGTGAATATAGTAGAGAAACAGTTCATTTATTTGTTTATTTGCAGTGCTGAGAATCCAGTCCCAGGCCTCATGCATGGTAGGCACACACTCTACCACTAAGCTACAGGCCAGCCCCTAAAAGGACACTTCACTGCCACAGTGGGTCCCAGTGTGGTCCCCAGACAGCAGTACCAGCATCACCTGGGAGCTTGTTAGAATTGCACCTTCTCAGTCCCCAGCCCAGGGGCCCAGCATTCTGGGTTTTCGTAGGCCCTCCATGTGATTCTGCGTGCGTGCCCAGCTTCAGAATCACTGCTGTAGAGACAGCTACACAAGCTTTTCTAATCTATGTTTGACTGCTTCGTTCCCAAAAGAATGTGCCTCAGAATCATCTGGAAGATTTAGAAAACCAGACTGCTGGCTTCCACCGTCGGAGTTTCTATTTTAGCAAGTTTGGGGTGGCGCTTGGAAATTCAGATTTCTTTTTTTCTTCCCCCCCGGGAATTGAACTCACTACCTTGAGCTTGCCAGGCAGGTGCGTGCCGCTGAGCTAAATCTCCAGCCCCGCAAATTTGGATTTCTAACATGTTCCCAAGTTAGCTGATTTTTCTGGTCTGGCTACCACACTCTGAGAATCTCAGCGCTTAAGGAAGAGTTTGCTATCTCAGGTTAGTCAAAGTTAGAGTGAACACTTTAGGATCTCAGTGTGTGCACTGTTTCATATGAGCTGATGCCACCTGTAAGCCAGGAGGAACCTGAAGTTGAGGATCCAGGCCCTGACATTCCCTCTGGGCAGGGTAATTCTCTTGGTACCAGAAAGGACTGTGCGAAGGCCTTTTCAGAATTGTATTACAGCAATCTCCAAATCTACCTCCTTCAGATGGGGTTAGTTTTGTAACCCATGCCCCTTGAGTTCAAGGTAATCGTTGCCTCATTTTTTCATAGCCTTTTTCAACTTTATCACCTGATTTGGAGAGATTTGTCAGGTTGCTTCTCTACTTGATTGGATTCAGGTAATCTGCTTACTGCCCCACTCCAGTTCTGACTGTAGACCACAGCTATAAGTCATTCTAAAGAAAATGCGGAACAGAATCTTCTATAAATCATGTAATGTATTGTCTATATTTTGATCATTATTTTTAAGAAGAAACTTTTCCTCCCCTTTTTTGTCTATTTTACGTTCACTCATTTAAACATTTTCCATTTTCTTTTGAGGTTATATCTGGGCACAGCCTAATCTAATCTGATGGCTTGTATTTGGTGTTTGTTCTAGGTTCACTTCTTCAACAGCTTTTTTCATAGGCAGCTGGTAACCAAAGGATATAATGGAGTTAAGAGATGGACTAAAAAGGTATTGTTTCTTTTATTTTAAATTTGAGGTGGAGAATTAGGCGACTTTTGGTGGAGGGATAAGAACTTTAATGCAATATGTTAATTAGAAACAAACTTTAACGTGACTTTTAAAAAAAAATCTCACTGTCTGAAAGGCAAGACACTAGTGAGGCTTTTGCATCTCCCAGTGGATTGGTGCATGCAGAACTGAAAGAGCATTGTTCTTTTTGCAGCGTGGGTATTAGCTTGTTTGCGACTTGGACAGGACACTCAGTTGGAACCTTAGATTGCTCAGTTGCAAAATGAAATAAGTCAGGGTAATCTAAATTGCTTTCATTGACTCAGCCAGAAGCATTAATTTTTTCAGAAGCATTAGTTTAAAAGGCGTTTAATAATGTTCTATTTTTGATATTTGGACAAAATTTATCCAGAAGTTTAAATTCCAGTCAGTTCTTCAGATACTATAACTTTTCACTCATTGGTAATGAGGGTTGAAGCCTGGTCCTTTATAGTGAGATTTTTTATTGATTTTCTTGAGATAGGGTCTTGCTGAGTTGCCAGATTGTCCAGGCTGGGCTGGAACTTTCAGTCCTTCTGCTGTGGAATGCTGGTGTTCACCACTCCTGTAACATTTTGCTTTTTGTGCTGGTTGGGGGACTGGGGATGTGACGGAGTTACGTGGTCAAGCCCTTGGCCTCATATATGCAAGATTTTGGGTTTAACCCCAACACGGGGGTGGGGGTGGGGGTGTGGGGGGGTGTGGTTTTACTAGATGGACTGGAGACACTGAGTCTTGTCTTACATAGTTACGGACAGAAATAATGTTGTGTAAAGTACATGCTAAGAAGAGTACAAATTTTGGGAAATAGATACAATGAATTCGGGAATCAGACTTGAGTTCAGATTCTAATTTGGCCCTTTAACTAGTTGTAGATCTTGAGCAGGTTACCTAATCCTTCTAAACTTCACCTTCAGTTTATAATATTCTTGCCAATTGTGAGTTTCCGTTCTTTGATTTGGTAATTTACTCGCTGACAGTTCCAAGGAAATTTCAAAAAGTTCTGTATGTTAAAGTTCGTCTAATTGGTAATTACAGTAACAAAAAAATGAAAATGCTGGATATGTTAATAAATCATTTTTATGGGATATGTTAATGGTAAACCTTGTGGTTTTAGTTACTATTTCTTGAAGTAAGTATATTCCAAACAGATGTAATGCTAACAGAAGAGGCTAAGGTACATTATTAAGGATTTGGCCTAGCCCCCAGTCTCCTAAAAGGAGTTATAGCAAAGGCTTAAATAAAGGAGACAAGTAATAACCTTTTGGGGTCCTGGAAGGTCAAAACTCCCTTGGAGCTAAGACAGAGACTTCACTGGAGCACCCATATTTACTGGGTTTCCAATCAAAGGAAAGGGAGAGCTGAGGTAAGGGCAGGAAACCAAGCGGGGCCTTGGGAAATTTAGATCAAAGACGTCTCCAAGGAGTACACTTTTTTTTTTTTTTTTTTTGCTATTATAAATCACCCTTTATTGTTGTACATAATAAATAGATACAGAAAAATGGTGAAAATGTATGACTTCACTAATTAAAGCTGAGGAAGCTAACCTAGTCAGGTTTAGATGTTCAGTGAGAAATGACAAGAGTAACTGAATATAAAGAAAAACAAAAAGAACTCTACTTTTCTATGTTAACACAGATGAAGAGAACCTTTCTTATTAGAAGGGTTGATAGTACCAGTTCTTAGCAATAAACGTAAGACATCCAAGCAGTAAATTTTGCCAGTTAAAACTGTCCTGTGTGTAAGGTTGACATTTACAGCAGGGGCCAAATGGCTGCGTCTGGAGTCTTTATCTTAAGAATTGGAGTGAGAGCCAGGTATCCTCAGTTGCAGCTTCATCTTGCCTTCAGAGGTGTAAGTGTCACAGACCACACAGGCTTCTCCTGTGACTGCTGGCATGGCGAGTTGCACTTACTGCATGCCAGTTGCCACTCTGAGCAAGTCACCTAGGCTTGGGACAGACTCATGTAAATATAGAAAGCAAATTGATTAATTCTAAATCATGCTCAGAGCCACTTTGTAGTCTCCATCATTATGTCACTAATTTCATAATCTTGTGTAGAGGGAAGGCAGTAGTGTTTCTGGAATTGATAAATTGAAAAATGTAGGTTAAGTCATTGTCCTGTTACACTTCTTCTCTCAGTCACATGCTCCGGCCACATGGGCTTCCTGGGGACACTCGTGGTCCCAAGGCCTTTGTGCTTTCTCTTCCATCCACTGGGAACGGGGTATGCATGTGACTCACACCCTCATTTCATTGCCTCTACTCAGAAGTGCTCTCCTCAGAGGCCAACCTTGGTTGTTCTGCCTACGGTAGTAGCTGCCAGGGCTGGCGTCCATTTCAGTGGCAGAGCGTGTGCCTGTCATACACAAGGCCTTGGGCTCGGTCCCCAGCACCACAAAACATGAATACAGTGGTGCTGTCCAGTGCCCTCCCCTTCTCTTTCTCTGTTTTCTTCCCCAGTGCTACACTGTATTTATTGTCTCCTTTTTGGAGTGAACTTTGCATAGGACTTTTATTTCAGGTAATACCAGGGCAATGTCTGTTGAATTATTTTAAAGTTATAAGGGCAACTGTTGGTAAGAACTAAAAATAAGCTGTATGAAGAAAAAACAGAAATAGACAACTGTATATGATTTCCATATTGCTGCTGTTTTCCTGAGTGTTTAGCATTGTGGAACTCAAGGAATGTGACATGAAGTATTGAATTACCAGATCAAAGTATTGACTTCTTTTTATATGCCAAGCACTTTTCTGGCCATTGAAGATAGAGGAATAGGAAAAAAGATAAAGCCCTTGATCTCCTGGGACTTAGAAGTAAGCCAGTAATAATCTGGGAGTGTTACCTGCTGTTTGCTGTGGAGCTGTTACAGCAGAATGTAGGCCTGAGGCTTTAGCTCATTGTGAGAGCATTTGCCTTGCACATTCTAGGGCCTGGGTTTGATCCCCAGCTCTGCAAAAAGGAAGAGAGGAAAACAAGAGTATGAGAGGGCAAAGAAATGAGGGATAGGGAGCTGGGGTATCAGGTTAATAATATCTCTTAGTTATTGTGGGCTAATCAGGTCCACAATCTTCTGAATGAGTGTAAGGCAAAGGCCTAATAAAAGAGGCAAATGGAATGATTTCAGGGCTGCAAGAGGATCAAAGCCCTGTCACAGAACTCAAGATTCTCTCCGGACTAAGACCAAGACCTTCTCTGGGTGGCCTGTATTTATTTAGTTATTGAAAGAAAGTGGGGGGAGTACTCAAGAAGGGCAGAACCACTCAAGGACTTCTCCAAGTAAGGTATTAAGTTAATCGACTGAGGAGTGAGATGCCTGAGGCTGTAGTCTTTATCTAGTTGAGATCGGATCCAGGTGTCCTTGGCTGTGATCTTGTCTTATCACTTTGAGGCTTTCTGGAGGCTTTCTGGCTTCATCTGCCATTACAGGCCTTAGTAAGGATCAGTGACTCACAGAGATTCACTTACAGCTATGAGTCCACCACCCATCTTCATACAAGGAGCCTAGGCCTTGGACAGACCCTCAAGTAAACATGAAAGCCAGTTGGTTAATTTAAGTCCTGTTCAGGACTGCTGCATCACTGGGGGGGGGGGACGGAAGAGGACTAGCTCTTACAGAGAGAAGAGTAAGGAAAAGCCTTTTTGAAGAGCTCACAGCTCACTGAAAACTCAGTGCTGACAAGGACCAACCACCTGAAGGTCCCAAGAGAATTCCAGCTAGAGGAGGAGCAAATTTAAAGGCCCCGCAGCAGAAATGAGTTTGACTGGAGTGGTACGGGAAAGAGATTAGTGAAGGAGTAGAACCGATTCAGAGCCTGGGGCCGTAGCTCAGGGTAAAGCCTGAGGCCCTGAGGTTGATCCCCAGCATAGAAAGGGAGAGAAAAGAAGAGGGAGGGGGCCAGCTCAGTTTCTCAACAGTGATCTCTGTCCCCATTGGCCTGCTATCAGTTCTTTTTCTTTTTCTTTTCTTTTCTTTTCTTTCTTTTTCTTCTCTTCTCTTCTCTTTTCTCTTTTCTTTTTTCTTTTCTTTTCTCTTCTTTGTTTTCTCTCTTCTCTCCTCTCCCCTGCCCTCCCCTCCCTGCCCTCCCCTCTCGCCTCCCCTCTCCTCTGTCCTCTCCTGGCAAAATAGAATCTGGTATAGTTTAACATAGTCTTGCAATTGTTTTAACCCTAGGAATCTCTAAAGGATTTTCAAAAACTACCTGTGAAAAGAAAGTCATTCACTCTTACAAATGTTTATGCAGCACTTAGTTCTTTATCATCCAGTCTACAACTGGAATTTTTATTGGAACAGAAAATCTATGTAGGTTATAGAGGATATGTTTGAATTGTAAAGCATGCATTGGGATGTAAAGAGTTCTAAAGTATTTGTTAATTTTGACATATGAGAGACACAATGCCCACTTCCTGTGGATGTCGGCTTTTGGGGTTTTTTGTTTTGCATTTTGAAATGATGATAATAGCTAAGATGTATTTGCTGCTTCTAATGTGCTAATAAGCATAGTTCTGTGCATTTTTTTGTGCATTCTTTTGTTACTTTCAAAAACTTTATAAGGTGGGTGCCATTGTTTTCTGCATTTTATAGTTAAGGAAATCAAGGCACAAAGTCATCTGACCAATAAGTACAAGAGCCATAGTTTGAACTTAAGCAGACTTGACTCGGAGCTTGTGAACTTAACATCTATCCCTGATCTATAGAAAGATGGAAGTGGTAGACCTTTTGCTGTTTCTACTGTTGTGGTTTCTTTCTAGAGGAGAGTGGGGTCTAGGTGAGAATGTGCCTAAGAAAATTAGTAAGCATAAAAATAAGGGACTGAGTCATGCTGGACAGTTAATAAACACAGATTAGTAGGTTAAGTAAAAAATAGTACTTCCTGTATCTTCGTTTTTCTTTTTGTTGTATGTTACAGCCTAATAATTACAAGTGTGGGCGCAAGTGATGGCTCAGTGCTTCCCAGTTTTGTGAGTTTGGGTAGGTCAAGGTTCATTCCATGACCTTTTGCTGCCATTTGCTGCTTGTTCCGTGGTGATAACTGCATTTCTTTCTCTTTTCTTCATAGGTGGATTTGTTTAAAAAGAGTCTTCTGCTGATTCCTATCCACCTGGAAGTCCACTGGTCTCTCATTACAGTGACACTTTCTAATCGAATTATTTCATTTTATGATTCACAAGGCATTCATTTTAAGTTTTGTGTAGAGGTAAGTTAAAATCCTGCCAGTTTCCTCATTTATCTTGTGATTGGCCACATCCCATCTTAGCTATGGTAGAACAGCAGTCAGAGCTATTGACAAACAGTTTCTGTCCTGAGAGCTTTCTTAGCTAGGGGCGGAGAAAAGGACTACAGAGAACTTTCCAGATGGGGAGAGGTGGCTTCCATGATCCAGATCCCCTCAGAAGTACGTAGGTGCCGTATGGAAGTTTTGTCAGCATTTTTTTGAGTGTTTCCTTTAAAACTGCTTCTTGAATATGGATAGGGACTGTTTTCCTTGGTTTCTTTTAGAGTTAAGTTTGGCTTGTATCTTCAACATAAGTAGACTAAATCACAACTGAAGAAAACCAACTGGCACAATATTAGAGTTTGGCTAAGATTCATATTCAACAGGATGGTGAAATTAAAAAACCAGAAAATCTTCTCTGGTTTTTCCTGCACAGTCAAGAACCAGCCAGAGGGCTGGGGATTTAGCTCAGCAGCACAGCGCCTGCCTGGCAAGCGCAAGGTCGTGAGTTCGATTCCTGGTACCGGAAAA